TTCTTTCTTTCTTTCTTTCTTTCTTTCTTTCTTTCTTTCTTTCTTTCCTATATGGGTTAAGTGACTTGCCCAGGGTCACACAGCTAGTAAGTATCTGAGATTGGATTTGAACTCAGGTCCTCCTGACTCCAGGGCTGGTGCTTTATTCACTGCACCACGTAGCTGCCCCCAAACTACTTTTCCAGATTTATCTTAATTTATCTACTTGTTTCAGTGTTGTGGCCAAAGTAGCCAACTCGTCATCTCCCCCAAATTTCCTATGATCTCCCCTCTCTGGGTCTTTGTTCCTCACAAATCTCTCCCTCTACCTCTTCACCTGTTTTAATTTTACACATCTAGCCTACCCAAGGTCACACAGGTGCTTAGCAGTAGAACCTGTCTCTACCTGAGTCCCTGTTTGAATACATATGTGTATGTATAAGCAGTGGCATTAGTGGATGGAGAGATATGTGCTTGGAGGTAGGAAGACCTGCATCAGAATCCCTAGTCAGATGCTCTTCAGGTGTATGAGTCCCTTAAAGCTCTTTCAGCCTCAGCTTTCCCATCTATAAAATGGGGACAATAATACCACCTACCTTCCAGGGTTGTTGCGAGGATCAATGGAGTTAATAAATGTAAGGTACTTTGCAAACCTTTACGCGCTATATAAATGCTAGCTAGTGTTGTTATTCTATATACATAGCTCTCTTTGCCTCTCTGGCCCTTTTCTTGGGATGCTTCTTCTTCCAGACTCTCTTTCAGAGCTTTCTTCTCTCTGGGACTGTGCAAAAGAGTGATGAGTTGGGAGACAGAAGATCCGTGTTTAAGCTTGGGTTTTGCTGCTTTCGCTCCAGCCAGGTGAGCTTGGGGAAGTCGCTCCATTTTCTCCTCCAAAATGGAGATGGTAGATGAGGTGGTTTCCAAACTCCCTTCTGGCTTGAACTCAAAGTTCCCAGGCTCCTTCTCTATGTGTGTCTGGGGATGGGTTGATCTTTCTCTCTTGGTTCAATGCCCAGCTGGGCATGGAAGGGGCCGGATGAATGTGCTGGCTTGAGCAACCACAGGGTGACCCAGGCAGTCCTTGGGGGCAAAGGCCTCCAGCTGAAGGTGTGTTGTTGGGATGGTGGTTATTTCTATAAGTTGGTAGCTGTGTGAGGCAGCTGAGATGGGGTGGAAAGAGCCTGGGCAGGAGGTAGGAGACTGGAATTTGAGTCCTGGCTTTGATACTAATAAACAGTGTGAAAATAAGTCATTTATTTGGCTTGGATATCAATAAGCAGAGGGGAAATAAGTAATTTCCCCTCTCTGGGCCTCAGCCTTGTCATCTGTCAAATAGGGATGGGGAATTGTGCTAAATGATTACTTTTCTAAAATTCTATGTTTCAACATCTTATATTCTAAGATTTTCCCAAATTCTGACCTTCTGTACTCTAAGGTCCCTCCTAGCTCTGACATTGTGTGTTCTGGACATTCTCTGTTCTGAAGTTCCCCCGCCCCCCAGCTCTGACATTCTGTGCTCTAAGGGCCCTCCCAGCTCTGACACTTTGTGTTCTAAGGGCCCTCCCAGCTCTGACATTCTATATTTTAAGGCCCCTTCCAGTCCTGACATCCTATGTTCTAATATACTCCCCAGCTGTGAGGTTCTATGTTCTAATATTCTGTTTTAGGAGCCCTCCCAACTTTGCCATTCTATGTTCTAAGGCTCCTTCTAGCTCTGTGTGCTATCATCCTATGTTCTAATATCCTTCCCAGTTCTGACATTCTGTGATCTAAGGGCCTTCCCAGCTCTGACATTCTTTATTCTAATTTTCCTTCCAGACCTGTCATTCTACATTCTTGCATTCTAAATCTTAAGGTCCCTCCCAGTTCTGATATTCTATGTCCTAAGGGTCCTTCAAGCTTTTACATTCTGTTCTAACATTTTGTGTTCTAAGATCCTTTCCAGCTCCTACATTTTCTATGATAGTCTCTAAAGAAAGGTTCTAATCTAATCCAGTAGCTAGCTGGTCAGAGCTTTTGATTACCCCCAGGCTCTAAAAGATGTTCTCTTGAATCTGGGCTTCTGTGGCTGGCCTGAGGGTGCCGGATACAATGTGGGTGAAGATCTGAGCATGGGTGGGGTTGTTTGAGTCTTGTGGTCAGAGTGACTAGTGGTGTGAATCACAGAGGGGGAGGATGCACAGAGAAAGATGCACGTAGGAGCTGAGAGTCTGAGTCATTGTGGGTGTTTGTGGATGTGTCCAGGTACGAATCTTCAGTAATCTGGGAGACTGTTTGGGTGCGGATCTCCAGAAGGTTGGGTTTACCCCTGAGTGCACAATGGTTTAGGACACAAAGTGGCAGATGTACCCTACCAGCATGTCTAGCCAGAGAGACTGGGTCCATGCTGGGTCCTAATGCTCTCCTCACCAAGGCACCCTAGCATGTGGGATGAGGGATAGAATAACCCAGGCAGATGCTGTGTTTGAATGGAATGCTTCTGAGCCTGCAGTCATCTCCTCATAGGAACAGGGAGATCCTGGGGGGGAAGGGGAGTTCAAGGGGACTCAACGCCAGAATGTCTGAGAGTGAGTGTGACGGGACTGGTCATGGGATGCTGTAAGAATCAGAGGTGACCCAGAGCTGCATGGGCTGCTTTGGCCAGATAGTGGGCTCCCCTTTGAGGAGGACTTCGAGCTGAAGCTGAATGGATGACCAATGGTTCAGTGAATCGTAGAGGGGACTCCTCTTCAGACATGGGCTGGGCCACTTGGCTGCTGAGATCTCTTCTAGCTCTATAGTTGCAACCCTTTAAATGATGTGCCAAAGGTCACATGGGTACTGGGCATCAGGAAGGGAATCTGAACCAAGGCCCTCCAACTCTAGAAATGAGCCACCGCTCCATGCTGACGTCCTTTGCCTTAGACATCGGTCTCAGCTGATGCTTCCCTCTGGGCCCTGGTACTGCCTCCTTGGCATTGTTAAGGCCTTCTTAAATGTGGTTTTGTCTCCTTCTAGGGAGGGTTAGTCAACCTATGAATGCTTAGAAAATGATGTAAACAGTGTTGTCTTATGGAAAGACCCCTGGGCGGAGAGGCAGGAGAGCTGGGTTTGAGGCCGTGATCAGCTCTAATATGCTGGGCTCCACCTCTTTCCGGATCCATCTTCTCATCTGTAGGGGCAGCATTCGAACCCAAGTCTCTTACTTCTAGTTTAGGGCTCTTCCCATTGCAACATGCTGCCTTTAACTTGATCAGTGACAAAGATAATATCAGGGGACAAGCCTGGCCATAACAATAGCTAGAATGATGATAACAACAGACTAGTAGCTAGAACATTTCTATAGCATTTTAAGATTTGATCCTCATAACAGCCTTGGCAGGTAGGCACTATTATCACTCTTCCCCCATTTTACAGATGAGAAAATGGAGGCAAACAGAAATTAAAGGCTTTCCCAGGGCCATATAGCTAATATGTGTCTGAGGCAGTATTTGAACTCAGGTCTTCTGGACTCCCAAGTCATTGTGATACCTTAGGCTATCTATATCTGCTGATTGAGGATTGTGAACATAGGGGGGCATTTCCCTGCCAACTTCATGTCCTGACTATTGTGATCAAACAAAAGGATCAGGCTTTAGTTTGAAATGGGGCCAAGTAGAGAAAGATCCACCATCTGAGACATGGGGCTGGGTTGTGGGCGCCAGGGAAGCAGATATGGCAACCTCCTTCCAAGGTCCCTCACCCATCCAGAATATCCAGCTGTTTCCAGTTGGAAGGCCAAGAAGGAGCAACTTACCATTGGAGTCCTCTGTTCCTCTGGGGATATTTGGGTTTTCTATAGGAAACAAAATAGGAGAAGAGTATTAAGGGCCTGAGCAAAGTCCCAGAGGGGTGGAGTGAAAGCCAGTCCCTACGGGATGGAATGAGGCCTGAAAGACTGACCTTGGGGTGGCTTTTGGAGTCAGAGACTCAAAGGCTGTGTTGTAGAATGCACTAAGTCCTGGCTTTGTGGACATCCCACCTTGGACATGTACTACCTTGTACTTCTTGGGGCCTCAGTTTCCTCATCTGTAAATGAGGGAGGTTGGAATAGATGATCTCGAAGCTTCCTTCTGGTGCTAAATCTATGATTCTGTCATCACACTGACTTCCTCCGGGAGAGTTGAGGTGGATGCCCAGAGGTCATTCTTCCAGGGGATTGAATGAGATATTTGTAAAGCACTTAGCACAGTGCCTGGCACATAGTAGGTGCTATATAAATGCTTGTATCCTTCCTACAACACTGCCTCCAAATTATCCAACTTCAAAGCCCTGTACAAATGAAAGACTGTTATTTTCATGAAATTTCTATAATAATAATAATAATAACAGTAATAGCTAACATTGTAATATCTCTTTAAAGTTTGCAAAACACTTTATAAATATTGTTTTATCATCCTAACTCTCTTGGGAGGTAGGTGCTGTTTTTATCTCCATTTTACAGATGAGAAGACTGAGACACACAGAGGATAGATCACTGGGAGGAACCCCATGGACATCAGCCCCGTTGTGGACTGGGTCCTCTTAAGAGAACATCGAGAATGACCTCACAACCTCCCTCTGTTCCGGCCCTCACTCCCCCTGGTTGTTGGAGCGTTCTTTTTTTGTGTTTAATCTGATTTTCTCATACAGTATGTCCAGGTTATTTCTTTGGGCTTGGTGCTTTGCAGCTCCAAATCCATGATCCCTATGGAGCAGAAGAGCTGGGTGGTGTCCTGATTACCACTTTTCTAGAATTGGGTGGGGGTACAGACACAGTCACAGCAGTCTTTTAATCCCTGGGCAAAGGGACACCTCTCTTATGGCCTTCATAGGATTTGGAGCGGGAAGAGATGATCTAGTTCAATATTTCACAGTTGAGAGAAAGGAAATTACTTATCTAAGGTCACACTGAGAGTAAGTAGCAGAGACAGGATTTGACCACAGGTCTTCTGCTTCCAAATGTAATGATCTTCTCCTTACACCTCCTACTTCCCGAGCCCCAGCTGGGCTTCTGATCCAAAGAGTGCCCCTCCTCAATCCCTACCTAGGGGTCCATTTTTTTCAGATTAAGTTTTGGAGCTGGAAGAAGCCCTAGAGATCATAGACGTAGAAGTGACTTTAGAATTTGTGTAGTCCAATCTCTCATTTTACAAATGGGGAAACTGAGGCCTAGAGAGGCTAAGTTAAATATAAGGTTATATTCTATAACTTACAAGGTTGACTTATAAGTCCAAAGTTACACAGCTAATAAGTCATACAGCCAGGATTAAAATATGGGTCATCAGATTCCAAATCCAGTGCTTTTTCTACAGTGTACAAGGCAGGGAAGCAGTCTTGGAGTCAGGAAGACTCAAATTCAAATCTTGCCTTAGACACCAGTGACTTGGAAAAGTCATTTAATTGTCATGCGTTTCACTTTCCTCCTCTGTAAAATGGGGAATATTAGGAGAACTCAAGGTTATTGTGAGAATCGAATGAGATAACATGTGTGAAGTGTTTTGCAGAACTTAAAGCGCTATATAAACTCTCGCTATTATCAATACTATTATGATTAGTTAATAGATGTCCATCCCTAAGCCGGCCACTTCGATCCCTGTGGCTCAGATGCGATCCTTCCTGCAGAGAACAGACCTGTTCTTCTAGGCACGGAAGCCAGGACTCGCCCTCCTCCACCCCACTCCAGTCCCAGCTTGGGCTGGGTTCCCTACCAAATACGATGAGGCGGGTGTGGGTGTCGGTGGAGCCCAGGGGGTTCTGGGCCGTGCATCGGTACATGGAGCCGTTGAGCTCGGCGGGCACTCTCTCCAGCACCAGCTCCTTCCCGTCGTGTTCTGTACTGCCATCCAGGAGACGGCTCCCCACGCGGGTCCACGTGAACAGCGGCTCAGGGAAGACTTCGTTCTGTGGAGCGGAGGAGAGGGGTTAGGTCACCACACACGTCAGGCTGGTGTCTATTGCTAGAGACGGGAGGGGAGGCTGGGGAGGACCCTGGCTGGGGATGACCCTGGCGGGGGTTGCCTGCGCCTCGGTGGAGTGATCCCCCTGCCCCCTTTAGTGGATGGGGTGCTGATTGTCAATTCCTCCCCCTGCCCCTACTTCCCTTGAACCCTGGCTGCCTCGGGACCCCGAGTAGGGCTCCTGACCTGAAAGCCGTGGACCAGGATCCTCACGGTATCTCCCACTCGGGCTCTGGTGGGCGTCATCATGATTTTGGGGCCTTTGGGGGCAACTGCGTAAAGAGAGAGGAGAACAGAGTAAGGGGCAAGACACTGAACTTGCCTGTTGTACTGGGCGAGGGCAGGGAGAGAAACAGAGCCGGAATCTGCTCCTCCCACGAACCTGCCTCATTGTCCTTCAGCTGTTTATCACTAACCTCTGAGCTCTCTGCTAGTCTCCCTGCCTAGGGTCATGGACCATTAGAGCTGGGAGGAGCCTTAGAATGTGGAATGCCAGAGCCTAGAACTGAGCTTGTCAGAGCTGGAAGGGACTATAGAGCATAACGTGCATAACGTGTCAGAATGCGGAGGGGGCTCAGAGCCTAGACTTGCAGAGCTGGAAATATTTACTAATTATGTACATTTTATTTCCCTACAATAGAAAGTAAGCTGCGGGATAACAGGCACAGTTTCCTTTTAATAATTGTTCCAGGGGTGTGTCTCAGCTGGTCCTGAGAGCTGATTGCCAAGTTTTCAGTGTGAGCATTTACGCCTCAGAAATTGGCAAGGGCTATACATCAGGGCTTGATTTTGCGTTTTGTTGACTGTCAGGCTCAGAGGTGGGGAACCTACGGCCTCGAGGCCACATGTGGCCCTCTAGGTCCTCAAGTGTGGCCCTTTGACTGAATCCAAACTTCACAGAACAAATCCCCTTAATGAAAGGATTTGTTCTGTAAAACTTGGACTCAATCAAAAGGCCGAACCCAAGGACCTAGAAGGCCATATGCGGCCTCAGGTTTCCCACCCCGATTAGTCTTAGGAAAATGATGGAGAAAATGTTAAAATGCACCATTAAACTTGACAAAATATGTCCTACACCCTTTTTGAAAATCTGGTTGTTAAACATTTACCAGCACACCCTTGATTGTCGTCCCACTGCTTTGTATATCTTTGTTTGCATGTTTTCTCCCTCATTAGACTGTGAGCTCCTTGACTGTCTTTTGTGTCTCTATATGTGCCCAGTGCTTGGAACAGCACCTGGCACATAGTAAGTGCTTAACAAATGCCTATTGAAAGGACGAATGAAAGAATGAACGAATGGACATTGAATGTTGGAACTGGGAACTTAAAGATCATCCCTTCTGGCCCTCTCATTTTTCAGATGAGGAAATTAAGGCAGCTAGCCCATGATCACAGAACTAATTCAGAGCTGAGACTAGAATTCAGACTTTATGAAGGCTGATCTTTCCATTCCACTCTTAAGTTGGGGACAAATTGTGAAAAGCATTGAATGCCAGGTTAAATAAGGTGGTGTCAGAACTATGAGTTAGGAAGACTGATTTTGACTTGTCAGTGTGTGGGCTATCATGGGGAAGGGCCGGGGGGCCTAGATTTAGGGGGAATTAGTGAGTTGGCTATCTCACTAATCCAGGTAAGGGGTGATGAAGGGTTCGCCTTGTTCGCAGCTCCACAAAGTCCCCAAGCTGAGGGGACAATTCAGATATTTCTTACCACTCCCTGCTAATCACATCACTCCCAGACCCCTCCTTGAGCCCCCTCCCCTCCTAGGCCTGGATGTCAGCATGAATGAGTCTGGGGGAGGAATCAGGGGCCTGCCCAGGGTCAAGTGCTATCTGGGGCCTCTCCTCAGCCCCCCACAGTGCCTGTGAGTGATGACATGCCAGGCTGCACCTGCCAATTAGCTCCTGGCAGTGGAAATTGCCTGGTTGGAGAAGATGTAGAGAAGGGCCACCTGCACAGATGGAACTGTCCCCCTTCCCCCACCGATCCCCCCACTGTAACATACCACTAGGTTCCAGCCCCTCCCCCCTCCCAGGGACCAGTATTTGGTGTTTAGGGCGCACAGTGGGGATGAGAGAACAGGATGTCCAAGACGGACATTTCAGCTTGGTGACCACAGAATGGAAGAGTGGGTGGACAGAAGGAGGTGCTGACAGGCTCCTCCCTCCCAGCCCCAAGTCACCTTCTTCAGTTCCCACTTTGCTAGGCTTCTCACCCCCACTACCCCCATGAGGCACCATGGAAGGAAACCTTTGAGGGCAGAGGACCTGGGTTTGAATCCTGGGGAACCTCAGACACGTCACCTTCACTCTGAGCCTCAGCTTCCTTTTCTGTTAAAGGAGAGACTTAGAATATGTGATTTCCCAGGTTCCTTCCTGTCTAGCTTCAAAGCCTATGGTACCGAGACTCCTGGTGGGGTTGAACTCTGGCACTTAGTATCGCTATGTGCCCCTAGTCACTTCCTAGAGAGGGAAGACTCTGCCTGTGGCCTGGGGCTGTCTCAAGAGATGAATGGAAGTAAGGTAAGGGAGCAAGGTTTGAGGACAGATGGGTTGTGGTCTTGGCCCAGCCAGACCCCACCACTGAGAGGCGAGAGGGCTACCGCTGCTCCTGGTGGGAGAAAAGTCTGCCCCTGGCTATGCTCCTGTCAGGTCTGGGGCTGCCTATGCCAGCCTCCCAGGCTTCCCAAGGCTCCACTCCCCAAGCTAGTCTTATTACCCAGGCAACGGTCCCCTGGGTCTGATCTGTTCTCTCCCTGTCATTGGGATCAGCTGTTTGTGAGCCATGCTGCATGAGGATGCTTGGGGGAAAGAAGGGTAAGTTTTTCAACAAGTGGAAGCCTCAGATGGGCTGAGCTGCAGGATGTGGGGAAGGGGTTCACCTGGGTCCAAAGTATCATTGAACATCAGTGCTTAAGGGCCTTAGAACATATACTGCCAGAGCTGGAAGGGGCCTTAGAACATAGGATGTCAGAGCTGAAAGGAGCCTTAGATCACAGAATGTCAGAGCTGAAAGGAGCACAGGATATCAGAGCTGGGAGGGGCCTTAGAACAGAGAAATGTCAGAGCTGGGAGGGGCCTTAGAACACAGGATGGCAGAGCTGGGAGGGCCCTTAGAACACAGGATGTCAGAGCTGGGAGGGCCCTTAGAGCACAGGATGTCAGA